ACTTCTAAGAGACACATTACATTCCTTCAAGATGAGACTCCTTTAGATTTAATGATGCATAAGCGGTGTCATCACAGAACAGAGGCTACTGGAGCAGGGGCAGTTGAGAGCTAGGGAGAGAGCACCTGAGCCACGAAGGGCAAGCAGAGGGACTCGGCTGTCAGCTGACAAAAATAAACTTTAAGAAAACTGTGACAATGAAAAAGTCACAATGTAATTATGAATGAGCCAATTAAAGAGAATGATGTCTTTATTATAAAAGTGTGTAGCTGTTCCTTAGTCTTTAGAAGGTGGTTCCAGGACCTTCAGGAGATGCGCACTTCCTGGAGCTCACATGGTGCCTACGCATTCTGTAACACAGAGCTAATATGTAGACCTCAAAACATCTCTAGTCTTGTGCATTTCCTAATGCAATTCAAAGCCTATATAATGCTGCACTGGTTAGAAAATGATGATGATAAACAAACCCTGGTATTGTTAAGGCCAGATACAATTTTACTGTATCTTCATTCTGAGATTAATTGAATCCATGCACTTTGAAACCCATGAAAGGCAAACTGTTTATATGAACTAAACTTTGAAGTACATACATACATATGCATCTATACCTACACGTGCATATATGTGTTTGGAGGTAGGTAGATAGTTGGAAGGATATATGGAGAGATGATAGATAGAAAGATGGACAAATAGACAGATGGTAGATGATACACAAACAGATCATGAACCGAAAGATGGCTATGAAGAGGAGACAATGTACTGACAGTGTGCAGCTTTATTTATGGATAGATCTACAAGATGTAAATAGTGGACTTAGATAAGGCAGGGTGTCCAGTCTAGCTGTAAGAGATTACACATTTTTTGAGGGCATGCTAGCATTCTCCAGGATGTGCTACGGCACAAAACAATTCTTCAGGAACATAAAAAAATTAAGCTCCTCAAAATATCTTTTCTGAATACAATGAGATTAGACATCAGTTCCACAAGCCAAATGGGAGAATCCACAGATGTGATGTGAAAGCAAATGACTCTTAAATAATCACTGAGTGAAAGAAACATTTTGTGACACGTGAAAATGAACAAATTACCCACACGCAGCAAAAGTAGGTGCCACAGTTTGGAATTCACACTGAGATGTAATTCGCAATCCAAATGTTGCTAACATTTGGAGGTAGGAGAGAGTCGGGGTTATGCAGGGCCAAGAGAGACTGGTGGCTGTAATAACAGCAACACAGGCTGAGCTGACACAGGATTTCTCTCAGTTTCCACGCAATATCTGATGGTGTGTTAAGAAACATCAGGGAGGCACACACAGCTGCCAGCAGCGCACTGCTTCCCAAACCTTTCTGCTTTACGTACTACTGGGTTTAGTCTAGTTTGTTAAAGCAGCAAAACTGGACTGACATAGCAAAGAGTAGTGTTTATGATAATAACTACTTGCACTAAAGAGAATCTTTCTAACCAAACAACTTGAAATAGCTCAAAACTTATAAAACAGTAAACTAAGTGCTAAGTAAGCATAGGAAAAAATAATAAATACTATATAAGAAACACATAAAATTCAGACTAAGATGCAGTAGGAAAAACATTAATATAAGAGAGTAGGGGTTTTCTAAACCAAGGAAAGTGAACAAATATTAAAATGAAGATGGGGGAGAAATTCCAGAAAATAAACTCAGATATAAAACTTCATAGCATAGCTGTGGTTAATTATAAGCCAACAAACGAAATAACTAGAAGAAGTGGGGATATTTATGTAAACACGGATATATTCCTAGAAATGGCTGGTAGCTTGTGGTACAGAGAAGGAATCAGATATAAACAGAAAACCTAAAGAGACAGATAAGAAATAAAGATACTGAATCAGGAATCAGAAGTCCCTGACTAAAAGCACCCAATGCTGGATCCCTTTCCTGATGAATTCTACCAGACATTCAGCAAACAGCTTCCTTCTCAAACTCTCCCACAAAAGAGAAGAGGACATTTTATTTTTAAGCCACTTTAATTTATATTCAAAATCTAAACAAAGACATCACAAAACAAAAATTACTGTCAAATTTAGAAAAAAAATGGTGGCTAAAATCATTTACAAATTAGTAGAAGGCTGAATTTGATACTAATTCCATGGATACAGACGAAACTGTATTCATCCCACTGTTAATTTTAATTGTCAACCTTTCTAGCTTGGAATCACTATGAACACAGACCTCTCGAGGTGTCTGTGAAGACGTTTCTGGAAAGGTTTAACTGAAGAGGGGATATCCAAAGTGAACTGTGCAGTCCTCCACCATTGGCTGAGCTTTCTGAGTGAATAAAAGAACGAGACTTGAGAAGCATTCATTCGATTTTGCTTCCTGACTGTGCACGCAATGAGCCCAGCTACTACTACATGTCCCTATCAATATGCCCTCTCCCACATGATAGAATGTATCCTTTGAATGGTGACTTGAAATAAACCCTTCCTTAAGTTGCTTCTGCCAGGTATTTTGTCGTAGCAATGATGAAAGGAAGTACCAGAAAACTAGTACCAGGAGAGGGGGGTTCACTTGTTTGGGGGCCTTTGGAGCTAATCTATAGGAGGAATGGGAAAGAGTTTGGATCTGCAGGCAAGGAGAGCCGTCCATGTTGGAGTAGAGCTTAACTGATAATCTCGGGGAGAGCTCAGAAGCCCAGAATGCTGAGAGAAGTGTGGATAGAGGAAGCCCAGCTCACGAAGTTCAAACAACACATCATCTGTCTGATGGCTTGAGGCCATTTAAGATGCATTCTGGCAAGGAATCTTACTGCATTCTCCCCACAATCTGATACTTGAGTCAACCGAATTAAGAAGTAATATGTAGATCACAAAAATAAATGAAAAAAAAGAGAGCATGGCCTTGAAATACAGCAAGTGAGGGGGCAAAGGAAGGGAGACATGATGTGCGTAGTTGTTTGCTATTTTTACTCTTAGGTTCTTTTGGCTCTTTGCTCTTTGGGGACCCGCCACCCAACTCCCAAATAAGTGTACAGAAGGTTATTCTTTCTTATCAATACCCGGCCTTAATTTGGCTTATTTCTAGCCATCTTTTCTTAATTTAAATTATCCATATACCTTTGGCCGCTAGGCTTTTATATTTCTCTGCTAAATATACTTTTTTTTTTTTTTTTTTTTTTACTTCTTACTCCATGGCTTGTTGGGTAGCTGAGTGCCTGGCCCCTGATGTCCTCCTCTCTTCCTCATCTTCTCATTCCTCCATCTCTCATCCCAGATTTCTCCTTCCACTTATTCTCTCTGCCTGCCAGCCCCACCTACCTTTCTCCTGTCTTGTTATTGCTAATGGCCGTTCAGTTCATTAGACCAATCAGGTGTTTTAGACTGGCAAACTAACACAGCTTCACAGAGTTAAACAAATACAACATTAAAGAATGCAAGCCGGGCAGTGGTGGCTCATGCCTTTAATCCCAGCACTCAGGAGGCAAAGGAAGGCGGAACTCTGTGAGTTTGAGGCCAGCTTGGACTACAAGAGCTAGTTCCAGGACAGGCTCCAAAGCTACCGAGAAAGCCTGTCTTGAAAAACCAAAGAAAAAAAAAAGTTTGCATCATTAAACAAACGTTCCACAGCATAAACAAATTTAACACACCTTCATCTCATATTCCACAATAGATGTAATTACAGTATAATCTCAAAAGGAAAGAATAAAAAAAGAAGTAATAGATATCTTTGGTTGTTATCCAAGATGAAGGACAGAGATGTAAAGTCAAAGAGAACCAAGTCCTAACATCTAAAGGTCTAACATAGGCTACATTTAGTGATACTGAACACAACAGAAAATTGATAGGTACACTTTGGGTGGGCTTAGCTTATGCAAAATTTATCTATTATGTGGAATAATGGATATTCTAATTGACTTTTATAGAGTCAAATGTACTTATATGTGCATGTATGCATGTATATATATGCAGATCTTATGTAGCTCTACATAATACAAAATATAAAAATTTATTCATTGACCTATGAATTATTGTTGTTGTTGTTTTACTTTATATGTCTTTTTCACAATATTTTTAATTTATGGAGTGCATGCTTTAGAGATATTATAAAATAGATGTATATATTTTTGTTTCAGTTATTTTTAATTATTTATCTGAATTCAATTGAAATTTATTTTTTATTCTTCAATAACTTGAAGAGGTTTCATTAATCAATCACTTTTTGTTTAATTGGGTAAAGGTAGAGAGAAGAGAAGAGAGTGTCATGTTGAGAAGAAGACAATTTTGTTTAATGTCTGATTCCTACTTTATTGCATTTCTTTAAAAAACATGTCTCTAGTCTACGAATTCTCTAAACTCTTGGGATTTTCCCTGTGCATGAGTATTCTGTACACAAACACTCACGAGCACTTAGAGAGAAAGTGTGCATTTAGAGCGGTTGCTTCTTGCCCTTTCTCTGTGCCGTCTTCTCTCTAGAGAAAGATGGTGATGAATATCCCAAGCATATCCTTAGATACTAGGACAGCACCCCTTGGGATATTCATCACCATCTTTCTCTCTCCCTAAGTCTTCACTTAGGACTCCTGAAAAGTTCTTCTCGTTTCTCAGCTGAGTTCTACATATGGCACTTATATTTTATTCAGAATATTTTAATGTATTATTCTGAAATAATTACATCACTGCCATTGTGAAGCAACAGAATTATCTTTTTGAATGTGTATAAAGGAATACCTTATCAAATAATGATATGTAAAATACTGTAAAACAGCATCTATTCCTAAAAACAATAATAATTAGTTCTATTCCACTGATAAACTCACAATTACACTAGAGAAAACAGATACCATGCAGTGTATTCTTCACTAGGAGCCAGGGTTAGATTTGTTTTTCCTCCTAAGACCTAAAAACCTACAAGGTGGTTCTTTATTCTTATATTTTTGTGAGCTGTATATATTACAGAAAATGCATTCCTTAATTGATATACATAATTGTTTTTTTGTATTTATATTCACAGAAGCTCATTGCTTACCAATTTGCTTTCTGTACTGATCAACAGGAAGTTTCGTAGTGGAAGAGTCTTTTCTACCCATCTTTGATCTCCAAAATACCTGTTAAACAGAAAGAAAATAATTATAATGAAACATTTTTTATAAAAATTATCTGAAAACTCCCCCAAAAGTTCATTAAGATCATTTAAAAAAAAAAAACAATAAGCAAAATGCTGCTGACCTAACTTAATAGATATCTGCAAAGACAAGAAAACTTTCAAATAAATCATCAGATATACAATTACTGGTGATAAAATCTTCACACATTTATTCTAGGCTACATTAATTTTATCAAGAACCCAGCTCGATCAATCCAGAATATGAGGGAATAGTATCTGTAAATGGAATTTCTCTTTGCACCTATCCGCTGTGTTACATTAAAATAGAAAGGCCACAGTAGGTGAGCTGGATGGTTTGAACTTTGCATCCAAAGCCTCCCAAATGTGGCCGAGATGGGCAGGTTTAGGGTGCTCTGCTCTGCGCCCTATCACATAACATCAGACAGCACCACCAGGTACGACCATTCCCACTTTCCCAGTGCGCAGCCTCACAAGCATGTCCATGCATTCTCTTTCTTTTCCCCTAATGCACTGGGGGATAAATGAGCCCTCATACAAATCTGGAAGGCCCCATTTGTAGAAACCTGATTATCCATGGTGTGGAGGAAATATTTTTAATAATTTTTCATCCTTGAGAAAGGAATTAAATTCTCCTGTGAATTACTAGATATTTGTAGGCATATCTCCTGAAGTCTCAAATGTTTACTAAGGCAAACATCGGTTACTAGAAGTTGTTCCTTACTCCTTGTAGTGTGGTTCTATGTGAAAAATATATGGTCAAGCAAGAAGTCTGCATTGGATTAAAATCACAAAGGCCTCCTACTATTATTGCTACATATATATGCACAAATATGTAAATACAATCCGTCTTTTCTGGTTAGTGTGCCTTGAGTATATATAGTTTCAGGCCTGACTACTTTGCACTAGATACCAATTAGGAGAGCATCCCTGAAAGAAGCTGACTCTCCTGCCCTAAGCATTCATTGTGGTTTGGATATTTAAGGTAGAGGGGAAAAGAAAGCAGGGGGGGTTAAATAATTATATCTCAAATAAAAATAATAAATAGAAAACATATGAAGACACGGGAATTCTAAGAACTTGGAGTTTCAGAAGCTGGAAAAGCTAACTTCTAAAATTCAGATAGGAAGAAAAAATAGAAAAATATTTGGAGAACAAAGTTCAGCTAATATTTCTCATCTGAGAGATGGCAGGGAGAGAGAAGGGGAAGAGAAAAGAGAAGGATAGAGAGATGGTGAAGAGAACAGGAGAGCAGAGGATGAGCAATACTCTCGTGCCGAATCTCCTACTTCAGGTCCCCTCAGAACAGACACTTGGATGAGACACAGAAGCCCAGACTTCCAAAGAATAGACTAAAAGCATATGGAATTATACAGAAGAAAGAAACTGTGCTAAAATGATAGGCATGTGGAACTCAATGTCAGTGGTAAGAAGCTTAGCAAAAGATGAGGAAACTATTTAAGTAAAGGGGTGGGGGGATGAAAACAACGCCTGGTCCTCATCCCCTGAGTAAACTGAGGCTGTGCCATGGAGAGCAATTGGACAGTATGATGCCTGCTGTACACTGAAGGAGGAGATATCCCAGGGTGCTCGGGAAGTTCCTCTAAAGTGGTCATGGTGTGGCTCAAACAAGGCTGTCTATAGTAGAAAAGGCAGGGGTAACAAAAAACTCTCCTAGCCTAGACAGAATTTGAGACAGAGAAATCTGTTCTAGTTTCTCAGGTTTGAACTAGATTACTAGAAGGAGAGCTCTTTCAGGCTCTAAGTAAACTGGTGGGGTTTTTCCTAAAGAACTTTACTAAGGGATCTCAAAGACCAAGGACACCTGCAGTCTGCTCAAGCCCAACACATTCTTTACACATCTTGATGGAGACAGCTAACAATGACCTCCCAAAGAGGCAACTTCTACCCACATGTGAGAAAAGCATGAGCTCATCTCAAAGCTTAGTTTTATAATAACAATCTTCAGATTGATGGTATAACAAAATTTAGCAATGTAAAATACCCACTAACAACAGAAAGTCAAAGTAAGTCCGTCTCCAATAAACCATGGGGCTATTGCATCTAAGATGACACATACTTAAAGTTTTCTAAATGAAACTAAAGAGCACCTAATCCTATCCAGTCTTACTTGTTATTAATCAAAACATTAAAAATAGTTCTGTCAAGACAAGTCATAAATAATGTCAATAGATATAATGTATTCATATAGCAGTTTTATTCTGCATAGTGTTTGCATTTATTAATAGTAAGTGGAGTCATTATTTTAATATTAATTGTGTAGAGCTTGAAGATGTATCCATATCAAGAGAGAAGTTAGTTTACGTGCATAAAACACATATTCTTTCTTTAATATAACTTTTTTTTCTTTATGGAATATGCTTATGTTAAATGCACAAACCCCAGAAAACTGCTAAGTCTGTGTGCCCAATGGCTATTCATCACACTACCCTTCCCTTCCTGGTCATTTGACAATGGTAACACTTACAAGACAAGTACTGTATTGATCCATTACTTGTAGAAAAAAAAAAAAAACCTATCTTTTGACTGAAGGTGACCGAAGGAAATTGAACTTTATTCATTTCCAAATGTTCTTTACATAACATCATACCAAAAATTAGCAAACCTAAAGTCATAAATGTCTATAGGCTGTAAACAGACATATATATATATGTATATATATATACATATATATATATGAACTTATTTTATATAAAGACCAGCAAAATTTCAATTTCAAAGTTCTAGACAAAAGACAAAAAAACTGGCTTTCAATTATGGTTCTAATTATTTCAATAATTTATCATAATACTTGATTAGAATTTCAAAATTTTAACTTTCTTCTTGTGTTTGAAAAATATTCTATTTTTTCAGCAAAAAAAATGACGAGTAAAAATAAAAAGAAAAATCATACAAAACATTTGAATATGACAAAATTTTGTTAGGTGAAACAAGCAGAAAATGGTGAGAAGTATTTTGCTTCATTAATAAATGTACTAATTCTATTTAAAATGATCTAAAAGCATGCCTGTTCATCTGTATGGAGCAAACTGTCAGTGCTTCAGTCATCTAGAAATTCTACAATATTCTGACTTTTCTCCCCTCTTCAAAGCCTTGCAGTAACCATCACCCATTTCTATTGCTTTGATGACATGATAGCAAACTCCTAGAAATCCAGGGAGACATTAGCACACACAGTCACGATTTATAATAAGACAGCTATTTGCATGTGAGATCAGCCACAATTTAAAATGTGTTGTGATAGATGTGGGAAGGGAATAACAGATTTATATTAGCATGTACAAACCAAGATCATATTCACAATTTAATTCCTTAGGGACCATGTCTCATCACCTTCTTTTATGAAGAACACTGCATTCCCTGAGGAGATAACTTGTTCTGAGACCCAGCTCAACTAAAATATGGATTAATAAGCTACTGTTTATTATTTGTGTATTTTGTTGTGTGGGAATTATTTCAGATTAAGTCATCAGAAAACTTTTTAAAATTCTTGAAACTTGATAACATATTTAGGAAAGAAAGAATACTAATGTTATTCAAAACATAGACTATACATTAAAATAATTGAAAATTAAAATTTTAGTTAATTAAAATTTTACACTCTATACTTAAGACTGAAGATGGCATTCCTGTTTACAAATGCTTACTAGGTCTGTATAAACAGCAATTTCTGTAATAGTATGTCTAAATATATGTTGTGTTGTTTAATGGAGGTGGAGATAAGGCTCAGTAGTTAAGGGAAATGCTCTCTTGCAGAGGACCCCAGCTTGGCTTCTAGTATCCACGTTGTATAGATCACAGCTGTCTGTAACTCCAGCTACAGGGCAGCCTGACTCTTCCTACCTTCATGGGGACCAGCATTCACATGTACACATCTACCTTCACTATCATCCACACAAAATGAACTATGAAGAGCAGCCAAGGGACACACTCTGGGGTCTAAAGCTATAGAAGGAGGCAGAGCTGGCAGAATGCAGAGGTAATCAGAATGTATTGCTATACATGTCGGTAGACACTAAAGCTCTGGTGAGATAAAGGAGCCAACTTTGGCATTAAAATTAATCAAAGGCTTAAACTGAATGTCCATCTTATTGCAGAAGAGTGGAGAATCTTTAAAGGTGAATGTGGAAATGGTCGTGACTGATTATTGAGATGGAGCCAAATTTGGTACAAAACTGCCAACGTGGCTGATAACATAATGGTAAGTAACTAAAGGAAGAGAGGGACAGGATAAAGCTTTCCTTATGAAAGTAGAAAGTGAAGGGACATGAAGATACATGTAAGCTTGGACAGACTCTGAACTGAGAAGAGTATGGGAAGAGGGAGATATCCACAGATAATAAAAGGAAGGCTGAAGGAATTAGAATCAAGTGTTGTAAACAAATGAGCTGGAGTTTTGTTTGACTACCCTTGCTTTTTTTAATCTATATCAAAAAGAAAATTATATAGGAGTATAAATATGGAATTAATATGATTATCCACATATTAATTACAGATGAGCTTAGTGGTGCAATGGCCTTTAATTCCTGAACTTTAGAAGTAGAAGCAAAAGTATCAGTAATTCAAGGTCAGCCTTGAAGTCAGGCTAGGGTACTTGAATAATGTCAAAAACAAAAAACAAACAAAAAGACTTTGTGAAAATGGTGAGAATCTGGTTAAATGAAAACAGGTGAAATGACATGTTTACAGATGGAAGGATTTCGACAATAAAATAATACAGGGGTGTCATGAACTACCAGGAGTGTATATGGGACATGAATGTTCACAGGAGGACATATGACCAAATAGGTCATACTGAAAAGTGAGTAAACAAATGTGTCCGATCCTGATTAGGTTTATCTCAAGATGACACAGAATATTAGGACCTTTCACGAGTTATCTGGGGCTGGGTAAAATGGGGAAATCCATTCCTGGGAAAGGTTGGCTATACAGAAGTCAGTCCCCCAGAAGATAGTCTCAGGT